CACCTCAGATGGGGACTGCAGCCAAGAAATTAAAAGACGCTTGCTCCTGGGGAGGAAAGCTATGGCAAATCTAGACAGCATACTAAAAAACAGAGACATCACCCTGCCAACAAAAGTGCGTATAGTCCAGGCCATGGTTTTCCCAGTTGCAATGTATGGCTGTGAAAGTTGGACCATAAGAAAGGCTGAGCGCAAAAGAATTGAGGCCTTTGAACTATGGTGCTGGAGAAGACTCCTGCGAATTCCTTGGACTGCAAGGCGTTCAAACCGGTCAGTCCTAGAAGAGATCAACCCCAACTGCTCTTTAGAAGGCCAGGTCCTGAAGTTGAAACTCAAATACTTTGGCCATCTAATGAGAAGAAAGGACTCACTGGAGAAGGGCCTAATGCTGGGAAAGATTGAGGGCAATAGAAGAAGGGGACGACAGAGAATGAGATAGCTGGATGGAGTCACTGAAGCAGTAGGTGTGAACTTAAATGGACTCCAGAAGATGGTGGAGGTCAGGAAGACCTGGAGGAACGCTGTTCATGAGGTCGCGATGGGTCGGACACGACTTCGCAATTAACAACAACAACAACAAAAGAACGTAAAGTACGCCTCTTGTAGGCAATCCGGGTGAAAAAGAGGCAACCTGGGGAACAAGCTCTGTGGCGCGCCCCTGATGGTGCAGGAGAGCGGAAACACAATCGCTCCGAGGGAAGCCAGTGGAGGACACCGCCGGAGGTACAAAAAAAAGGGGGGGGGGACAAGGGAGCCTGGCACCCTCTGGATCCCAGCTTCCACTGGCCAAATCTGCGCGATAAATGCGCGGTGGTTTTGCAGGCAGCTCCGGAGATCTCCCGCTTGCCAAGCCTGGGACTCGCAAAGGGAGAAGGGCGGAGCTCAGCGCGGGGTGACCTTCCTTCTCCGCGACCCATCCCGGCGATGCTCACCGCGTTCCTTGCGCTCTTGGAGGCCAAGGAAGGGATCGAAGGTGGGCAGGGCGGAGGGGTCAGGCTCCACCTCCGAGTCCCCCAAATACCGGCGGACTAAATGAGCCCCCATTGCCGCCGCGGACTTGTGCCCCTGCTTCGTCTAGCTTCCGTTTGCCTCTCCTCCCCCGGAACCGGAACTGGACGTGGAGTCCGCTTTAACAGCGCTCGACTAGAACGCTGGGGACTCCTTCACGGCCTTTGCGCGTCACGACCGGAGATCCCGGGCAGTTGACTGCAGATGAAACGGCAGCGTCGTTTTTCATTTTTCCAGTGCTGCGCGACAGAAAGAAAACTGCAGGAGGATTTCCGTTCTGGCCGTATTCGGCGCCTGCAGATTCACCCAAGTGGAGAGGGAGAGAAAGGAATCGCGAACCACAAGCATTTTTTAAAATTTACAACGAATTATTTATTTCTTTTCATTTGTCAACATTTAAATCCTTGTCATGACAAATCAAAGTGAAAATGGTGTTTATAATCCTTGGCCACGTGTTGAAGAACGCTGTGAAAAAAATGTCATATATTGGCGACCGAGATTGAAGCTTGTCCAGGAAAAATAGTTTGCAATAGCCCTGTAACATTGTTTACAATTAAAATTCAATTTTATGTAGTTGCTTATGGCTTACTGACGCACCTTAAGTCTAAATTTGAACAGAATACTGCAGAAACATGTCAGAAATTCCTGTCTCTCTGGCTGCCTTATTGGTGAGTGATGGTCCTCCATTTGAGCTTTTCTGATCAAGAGGTTGCCTAATGTGGGTTTGGAGGAATATAGCAATAGCACTTGGAGTTGTATAGGTGGTCCTCAACTTATGACAATTGAATCCAAAATTTGTGTTGCTAAGTGAGACATTTAAGTGAATTTTGCCACATTTTACAATCTTTCTTGCCACGAATCACTGTAGGTGTCAGTAAGTAACATGGTTGGTAAGTGATTTTGGCTTTCCCATTGGGTCATTCCATGTCAAGTGGTCTGGGGGTCCCTGCTCGACCATCATGGATTTTGATGAAATTTTATGTGAACATGCACACATGTCCCCAATGAACATTTACGTGTTACGTTTGCCGATGCAATACTTGCGGACATATAGTCATTTGTTTGACCCAATACTGCAGCCTTCTACAGTATGACTCTGAGATTCCAACAACTTTGAGAGGATAATATCTCTGGCAATATTTTGTTGAGAGAAACAAAACTTGGCCATCTTGTACAACTTTTTGTGCTCTATTAAACAAAATAATAAACATGAGTGATCTCCATCTAGATAATTTGGAACAAAGTTGGCCGAAAATATTGTGGCTCAAAAAAAAGTTTAAAGTTTGGCTTTTTTATATTTCTGGAAGGAAAGGTATGATAAACGTGGAACCTTGCGCATAATAACTTAGCAGCACAAGGTTTTCAAATATAAAATTTCATTCTCCTGCTTTCCAATAGTTTACAAATTGAGTGTAAAGTTGATGTTTTTTGTAAAAACACCAAAAATAGGGTATTTTCAGCCCGCTTTTACAAAAAAACACCTGGAAATTCTGTTAAATCATTCTCATTAGAAAGAGCATGTTTCAAACCCCCTTAAAAAAGTAGGGTTGGTTTTTCATTGCTGACGTATAAAGCCCTAAAAATAGGGACAAGGTTGGGGACATTGCTATGGCAACATCACATGTATTCTATTTTTTTTGCCTTGTTTGTTTTATATAGACATCATTACTACTATTGTATTGGTCCATGGTGACATTGTCATTACCAGTTCAGGCATTTGAACCAAGCTTAAAGTGGGTATCTTATATGGTTCCCAAGCCGAAGTCCGTACTGTTCGTATGAACTGCCAAATTCCAGCAATCGCTTATTATTAAATTTACGCGCCACGTTCTTTAGGAATTGATACTGTTGACCTGATGACATAACTGAAGGTGCTGGAGGCACGCAAATGAGATGTGGTTCTGGAATCCAACAAACATCTTGTCTTGCAGGCCAATAAAATGAATGAGCAGGGCCTCGCAGATGCATAAATGTTATCAACGCATCATTTTGTTTGATCGAAATTTCCATGACGTTGCCTACCCACCATTTTTTGTCATAAATGCAGGCAACATAACAACCGGGAAATATGTCGGCCAATTTTAAATTTGGATCAACACTATTGGACATTTTGGCCACAAAGTTAATCTTGTCATTTGAAACTTTGCTGACAGAAATAGAATTTGAATCAACTGGCACAAACTGGCGATGATTTCTTGTGCCAGCTATTGTGCTCTCTAATTCTCCATCTTTCTTCTTGCAGCATCCTGCTTTCTTTGATTTCTTCCTTCAGAATGTATATATATTTAATTCCGTGAATGTTTCTGTCGCAAAAGTTGAACAGATCTGTCGGCATCAGTATTTGGTTGGTTGATGGTCGCTGGAGGCTGGCTTGAGCAGCCAAACGTTTAGTCATGCCGCCAACTCCGTTGCATGGTGATTTGCTGTGACTCGTGCTGAAAAAAATCCATTCGGCCTCAATTTCGAAATCTTGTTTGTGAATGCACACACTGACGAAATTTTTTTAATTTTTGTATTGCGCCGCTGAACCATCAGTAAAGTAGTATATTCTTGTAATCTTCATTTTAGTCGTCAAAAACTCAATCAACTTCCGAATAAACAGGTGCACGGAAACTGTATCATGTTGCATAGGATCAGAAATTATGCAACAATTGACATAATTTGCAGCACGCCATCTTTATCGACATAATAAGCGACGAATGGATGCACTGTGGCTTGCGAATTCTCCCAGTGAAAGCCTTGAGCAGCATCTTGGACAACAAACGAGTAATTCTCCGCAAAATCCATTAGTACAATCAGTTTGGTTTCTTTTAGGCCAGCTTTCAGGGACTTCAAATATTCGCTTGATGTTTTGAAACAAAGTGGTGGCCTGTCAGTTTCCACATTTTGATAGCAAGTTTTTCGATGAAGCCATCAACAGTGAGAACATTTGTTTCCAGCATTTCGCGGTCAGTATGAACCCATTGTGTGAATTATATTGATTCTTCCAAATCCCAATGCTCAAATATTTCATCGAAATGCACTATCAGTGCCTCTTCACCAGGGCAGTTTTGGCATCACTGCAACATACAATCTTTGATGTTCAGATCGCAAACTGCCTTTCCCATGAGCAGCTTGTAGTGCTCTTTAATGTTGGCACCTTGTAGCATAAGCTTAATATTTTGATGAATGGTGCAGATGCAGACAGAATGTGTGCTTGAGGCACAATGACACACCGCTTTGGTCTGAGTTCAAAGAATTTGGAGAAACCAATTTCAGTACCATATTTGTTTCAATATGGCAGTTCTTTCAAGACTGCACAGTAGCAACTGCTTTTGAATGTGAACCTTGACGCCATCAAGCCGAACGGAAACACAATCCTTTTTGCCAGGGCACATCCTGCTAAATTCGTCACCTGAAGACAAAGAGTCTGCCATGCTTTGGACCATGGAAACATATTTGGCTTTACACTTGGAACAAATCTTTTGACCTGGCTTCACATTAGTTTTCGCTAGTTTTGTTAAATCATTGGACGTGGCTAGATTGACTTTCAACAGCCATGTTTAGCTATGTGATTTTGTTTGTCAAATGGGTTGCAGCCACACAAGGCTTTGGAACCTCGAGGAAGAAACCAAACTACAGGCTTGGGATCCTAAACCAAGAAACCCACCCATGGCTGGTGTTGCACAGCTATCAGGCATGCCCCCTATGGCGACGGGGTTGCTGGTTCAAGTGCCTGAACTGATAGTGACAATGTCACCATGGACCAACACAATATAATAGTAGTAATGATGTCTATATAAAACAAACAAGGCAAAAAAAATAATAGAATACATGTGATGTTGCCATAGCAATGTCCCCAACCTTGTCCGTATTTTTAGGGCTTTATACATCAGCGATACAAAACCAATCCTACTTTTTTAGGCGGGTTGAAACATGCCCTTTCTAATGAGAACGATTTAACAAGAGTTTCCAAAAGGTCTTTTTTTTTTTGTAAAAGCGGGCTGAAAATACCCTATTTTTGGTGTTTTTACAAAAACTGTCAACTTTACACTCAATTTGTAAACTATTGGAAAGCAGTAGGAGAATGAAATTTTATATTTGAAAACCTTGTGTTGCTAAGTTATTATGCGCAAATATAAAAAGCCAAACTTTAAACTTTTTTTTGAGCCTCAATATTTTTGGCCAACTTTGCTCCAAATTATCTAGATGAAGATCTCTTGTGAAAATGTGTTTATTATTTTGTTTAATAGAGCACAAAAGGTTGTACAAGATGGCCAAGTTTTGTTTCTCTCAACAAAATATTGCCAGAGATATTACGTCTCAAAGTTGCTGGAATCTCAGTCATACTGTAGAAGGCTGCGGTATGGGGTCAAACAAATGACTATATCTCCCCAAGTATTGCATCGGCAAACATAACACTTTACCAATGTTCATTGGGGACATGTGTGCGTGTTCACACAAAATTTCATCAAAATCCGTGATGGTCGAGCAGGGCACTTTTCTGAAATCAGACCACTTGACGTGGAATGACCCCATTGACCTTGTCAGAAGGCTGCAAAACCTCACATAAACCAGGACACTGACTGTCATAATATGAGTCAGTTGTCAAGCATCTGAATTTTGATCATGTGACCATGGGGATGCTACAGCGGTCATAAGTGTAAAAAATAGTCATAAATCACTTTTTTCAGTGTAATTTTGAACAGTCATTAAATAAACTCTTGTAAGTCGAGCAATACTTGTGTACTGCTTTGTAGTACTTTACAGCTGTCTCTAAGCAGTTTACAGAGTCAGCCTCTTGCCCTCAACAATTTGGGTCCTCATTTTACCAATCTTGGAAGGAGGGAAAGCTGAGTCAATCTTGAGCCAGTCAGAACTGAACTCCTGGCCGTTGACAGAATTAGCCTGCAATACTGCATTCTAACCACTGCACCACCACAGTTCTATTCTTAAGAATTAATCTTGGATCAAAAATGGAGGACCGTTCCCATGAAGCATTGTCAATGGTGTTGGCACTTTTAAAAAAGATTATTTTTGTGCGATTATCCCATCAAAAGCTACAGGTGATGCTCCTTAGATCAGAACAATAAGATACCTGTAGGAGACACAGAATCCAAATGGCTTTGCTAAATGGCTCTGTCAACTGAAATAAAGCCTAGGGAATATATAGCAAAGTGTAAAATAATCTGGAGTTTTAAAAAAGAGGGTAGGGAATTGTATATCTTTTTAGGGAATACAGCAATTTTTATTTTACTTTAAATGTTCACCTACCAAGCTGCTCTACCTGCATTTCAGCAAAGTTATAGTGATATTGAAAACAGTCTTAGTGAACAAGTAACAAAGTTGTTTCATGCAGAGGACTGGTTTTATGAGAAGAAACTTTATGAAAGGTATACCGTATATATGAGCTATCACTAAAAGTCCTGCTTAAACAGAATTACTAAATAACCAAGGCAACATGTGCTGATCTTAATTACCCATATAAATATTATACTGGGAATTCTGTACCAAATTAGGAAAAGAAAAACCCTCTTGGATTAGGAGACACATACAAGGAAAGTCAATACACAGAGACGTTTTCCTTCTCACATACAAACTTAACATGTGTATCACAGCGAATGTCATTCCACTTTCCCTCTTTATATAGGACAGCACAATCTTCATCCTTTTGCCCACCATTATTGGGTTCACCTTGTCTCCAGCTCCTGAAAACGAGGCAGAATTCATTAGTGTTTTCTTAAATTCTGCTGATTGCAATCATATCTTCCTTTATTTAGAATCTATACTGCCTGGGGAGATGGTATTACACCAAAGTATAATCAATAACTTGAATAGTATTGCAAACTAAATACTGGTTGAAGGAGTATTTCCTTTTGTTTTTGCCAGTCATCTTATCCATTTTTCCATAGCATAAGAGCTTGGGCTCATGCGCGAAGTTCCCTTTGCGTGAGCAACAAGCGTGTGCACCCACCGCTCACACAAATGGAGCTGTGTGTGTTTGTGCACGTCCGCCACTCTCAAGGAACTATCCCCTCTCTCCCCTCCCGCTGGGCTGCCAAGCCAGAAAGGTTGGGGGCTGCTAAATTAGAGTATGATTTCAGATTGTTCAGTAAGCAAATTTCTAATCTGTGTGTCTCTTAGAATCCCTGACTATCTATTAATCATCTACACACACACACACACACACACACACACACATACCGTTCTACTGGTAGTGATCCATCAACCCAACGCCAAGTTCCTTCTTCTTCGGTATCAGTTAAGCCAAGCCAGATGGAGGATTTTAAATTCCGAGTCACAAAATCCTAGGTGAAAAGATATGTCATGCAAATGAAATTGTCTGTCTGTCTGTCTATCTATTTATCTCTTGTACCATAAGATAATCTTGCATTTTTGGCATTTTACACAGCGTACAATATACTAACAAATCATAGTACACTTTTAAAGAAATAATGTGAGAAAGCCTCAGTGGTGACAAGAAGCAAACAGGAATAAAAAATAAAAGTGGTGCAATGCTTAAATTAAGAGAATGCTTCCAGAATAGTTCCATTTTCAATAGTTTTCTGAAAGTCTGTAAGGGGGGGATGACTTTGATTTCTATCTGGAGGCCATTCTAGAACGTTGGTGCTGCCACAGAAATGAAGTGCCTTCTAATTTTTGGTCCTACTCGCTTGGCCTCTATCTGAAAGATCTTAAATAGTCTCCAGAGATTGGAAACTGGAGGCAATGGAGGCCCACTATCAGTGGAGACAGACTCTGGAGACTGGAGACAGTGCAGGCCCACAAAATCAGTATTACATGCTTCCATCATTGGACCAAGTAAGTATGTGAGCTGCCACATTCTGGATCAGTTACCAGTGGAGTTTCTACATAGACTGGGATCAGTTTGATATAAAATACATTGCAGTACTCCAACTAAATGGTGACGAAGGCATGAATTACTACAGGCAGATCAACATTGGAGTTGACAACAAATCTTGATGTGCAAACAACAGTTCTATGTTACATGGATACAATCTCTGTCTTTTGCATCCAAACTTTCATATTGACACTCTTTACTCAGGGTGGCAATGTAAAAGTGAGTATCACCAGCATGTTGATGATAATGGACCCTAAGCTCCTGAAAACTCATACGCTGACTTCATGCAAATATTAAACAGCATTAAAGCATTAAACAGGGAGGACTGACCCCTGTGACACCTACCTATTATAACCAATGGGTTGAGTTCTCATCCCCCATTACTTCTGTCTGAAAGTGCTCAGTGAGAAAGAGGGGGAACCTCTGCAAACAGTGCCAACAATGAGGGGTCCTGGGTGCTCTCTGAGCTTGGTTGTCCAAAGGGGCGTTTTCAAAAGGCAACTGGACTTTCTTTGTTTTTCCTATAAAATGTTTCGCTTCTCATCCAAGAAGCTTCTTCAGAACTGCAGAACTTCAGAACTGAAGAAGCTTCTTGGGTGAGAAGCAAAATGTCTTCAAGAAAAACAAAGAAAGTCCAGCTGCCTTTTGAAAATGCACCTTTGGGATAACCATGACCTGGATGACTGAGAATCCCCTTAGACATCTGAGCTTGATTGTTTTCTTGCAGATGTTTAATTGCCCAAACTAGGTAACATCAGCAGTACTAGTGCGAACAATCTCTAACCTGATTGTCCAGGTAGGATACTATGGTTGAAGGTATTAAAAGTCACCAAGAAGCCCAAAATGACAGGTAGGGCCATACTACTCCTATTCATTATCTTGTGGTTACAATGAGACTGCAACCAATGCTTTCTCCATCCCATACTGGAGCATAAAAATGCAAGAAAACTCTATTCCAACACTTTATAAGTAACTCAAGGCAGCAAACATACATAATACTTCTTCCTCCTTTTAGTTTCTCCACAACAACAATCTGTGAGGTTGTTTCCCCCAACCAGGCTAATATCCATATTGATGTAGCTGACATTTGTTGTCTTTCTAGGCAGATAAAACAGGTGTTTAAACAAATCCCTGTAGCTGCCAATTGTTTTTATTTTCAGAGAATGCCAATAATACCTTTGTATGGACCCAGAATATTTTTGGTCAAGAAAAACACTACTAGGCAGTCCTCTTCTTATGATCACAACCAGGAGTGGCATTTTTGTTGCTAAGCAAGGAGTTGTTAAGTGAGTCATGCCCAATTTTACAAACTTTTTTTCTATGTTTGTTAAGTGAATCACATGGTGTTTAAGCAAATCCACCTTCCTCCATTGACTTTGCTTGTCAGAAGACAGCTAGGAAAGTCACAAAGGATGATCATGTGACCCCAGGACAATGCATAAACACATGCCGGTTGCCAAGTGTCCAATTTTTGATCCTGTGACTACAAATGCTGCAATGGTTGTAACTGCAAGGACTGGTGGTAAATCAATTTTTTTTCAGTACTGTTGTAACTTTGATGTATCTAAATGAATGGTTCTATGTGGAGGACTACCTGTAGATCAATATAAGTGGTGTCCAGCAAAAGAAGCAGAAACTGGGAAGAGGCGCTTGAACAAATGGAGGAAGAAGAGATTGTGGTTGCACTTAGCTATGATTAATGAAGCACAGTTGACTCGGTTAATCCAGTATATACTAAAATATAGATTAACAACCCAAACTGATTTTCACAATGCACAAAGCTAAAATGTAGTTATGGTTCATCGTATCTATATAAACACAACTAGCATTGGGCAAGGACAAAACAGCATTAGTCCTGATTATGGAATTCCTGCCTAAATGAAAATAATATTAGTAATATTTTTTTACTGGTAAGTATTTATATACGAGCATGGCACAAAGTCAAGTTTTTAAATAATAATTACTATGTGAAGCAGTATATAAGTCTAAGTACTACGGTATTGCTAAGTGCTATTAACTAAAGTGCCGATACTTGGTTTCCTTTTGCAGCTTCTCCACAGGAGGCAAGCAGTGGGAAAAGGTTAAGATGTGGCAGTTGTACTACAAAGAAGATATACAAGAAAAGAATAAAGTTATTCCTTGCAGGAATATGTACAGTTTACCTGCTCTTTCTTGGTATTAATAATGACAAGGTGAGAATCATGCTCAGCACATTTTTCTTTTGCCATCTCCCAATTTTGTTCTGTGTCAGAGAAGTAGTAAGCATTTGTCTCAAATCTCTGCCATGAAATATCTGAAACAGAAAAGTTGTACAGAATAATTGTTTTAAAAATGGGGGCAGAGACTCTTGGAAGAAATAAAAATGGTTGATTGAAGATGGTTCAATGAAAAGTAGAGCTGGCAACGGGATAGAAGAATGAAGAGCTGGTGAGTAGATCAGCTCTTCGTATCTGTCTGAAAAAGGGAGAGGACCAGAGAGAACCCACAAGTACTCCAAACAGGTGGTCCTTGCAAGGAAACTGCAAGGCAGCAGTTTGCAAAAGGTTTTAAGCACTGAGAGATGAGGAGTTAAATCACCTTGCTCAAACCTTGGCCATCACTTTAAAAAGAGCACTAAGCTTGCATCCTTCATTTTCTAAGGACATTTGGAAATTGCTTGTTAACTACTTTTCATCTATTAGACATTTTTGGAATGAGGTCTGAAAACATGGGAAGAGTTTGCCTTCAATCCTCGATGAAAGAAAATTTTAACTACAAACTTAAGAACTTTTGTTTTTTAATAAACAGCAAATATTTGATTAATACTTTGATTTTAAACAGTTACAAATCAACCAAGGGCCCAGATAAATTTGAAATAAGATTTTGGAATTAATATAAAACTAACTATAAAGAATCCCTCCTGTGTGAAAGTGTTTTTGTTTTGATTTTTTTAAAAAAAACAAGATTTTTTAAAAATTGGACACTAGAAAGAATTAAAGATTTCAATTAAAAGAGAGGAACATAAATTTGACTTACAGTTACAGAATGGCACAAAATATTCTAGCACTGGAATGTCAGAAATTAATATTAACAATGTCAACAGTGATATCTGCCTCTACAGGATAGACTTTGTCTAAAAGATATTTTGAAAGAGGAACAGGTTTTACCTGATAAGAGAGAGACTGAGTTGAAAGTGGATTTAAAAGAACGGCAGGAAAAAAGAAAAGGATGTTACCCTGGACATATAAAAGAAACTGGCTGATATTTTAATAATTGAAAGGAAGATACCAACAATAAACCAAGAAAATGACCTGAATAATTTTTCTACATTGGATTTATAAAAAAGACTTGCTAAAGTTTTAAATAATCTCATGAGAAAGGACAAAGAAGAAATGAAATTAAATGTTATGATATGGTTTGAATGGAACCATAAAGATTAAAATTGTTAGAAGAGAAAGGGAGGAATATAAAGTTGATTTATTAGATCAAGGTTAAATAGATGTTATTTCTAGTAATTCTTAATGCATTTAATGGCTGATACTATGACTAAAATATGCTTCTTTAAGGATCTGCTTGTAAGTGAGGGATGGGATATGGGAAGAAGAGATCATTTGTTATATTTAAAGAGGAATTTCTTATATTTACAATAATGAAGGTGGGAAGACATTTGTTTTCTTTACTTTACTCCTATTTTTCTTGGTAAAGCAGAACTGACATTAAAGAGGTTAATTCCCACTCACACCTATTCATGAGGGAGACGGAAAAGAAAGTGATAGTTAGCTTCTCTACTCAACACTATAGTGCAGAGCTCCCCAACCTTTCTGGAGGGAAAGAGAGGAGCAGGGAAATGTGTGTGCGTGTGCACCCCCATGCGTGCTTGCACAAACGTGCACATGCACAATGGCAGCACTAGCACCCATGTCCAAGCAAGCTGCACACACCTGTGCATGCACAAATGGGCTGCTAGCACCACTGTGCATGCACAAATGGGCTGCTAGCACCCATGTGACACTGGCAGCAGCGCTACCGCCTGACACATGTGCAACAGAGCCACTAGCACCCGCACTGTGGTGCTAGCGCGAGTGGGCGGTGTGCACACACATGTGGGCACTCACCAGCCATTCCCATGGCCCAGTGGCCAAAAGGCCACAGCCCGGTATCAGGCTGCGGCCCACAGGTTGGGGACCCCTGCTATAGCGGACTGCTGAGTCCAGAGGGTGAAAGGTTGAAAATTTTTTCATATTCTAGTCATGTCTCCTGTTTTGTAATAAAGCACTGGTGATTTCACTGCCATGACCTAAATTCCATAAAGTACCTCACCTGAACTCCACCCTGTTATGCTGGGTTGTGATAGAGCCAAGAGACTCTCAACCTTGCTTGTCTTTCTGGCAATTAAAAAGATAAAAATATAAGAAATGGAACAATTCCAATTATGCCACCCTCTAGCCAAATGTTATATATAAGATTCTTAGGATTATATGGGACTAATAATCCCTCCTTGTGAGATAGAACAATCTTGCCAGAAGTATACTAAACTTTATATAAAAAGAAGGCAAAATGTGAAACCCATTTTAGGATATGTTTTTTTGAGGGTAGGATTCCTTCCAGCTATCCAGGATGCCATCTTGATCCATCTTGTTCCAGAGGCACAGCAAGAACATTGGAGGGGAGGGGAGTGCTTCTCCAGCCAACAGACATTCATTTCTTCCCTTTGAGTCTGCACTCTGCAGTCTTCCTTCACAACACATGCATATTTCAACATGATAGAAGATGTGCCTCAGAGCTCTCTCAGAGAGCTCTCTTCAACCTGGCTAAAACAAAAATTAAATAATCTCCTTCTATGTAACCTATGTAAGATGCTGAATCAGATTACAAATAATTTCCTTTTAATTATGAGTGGTCCCTGATTACAACTAAATTTCATTGGTCAGAATCCTGTGCTTGTAAGAGACATATTTTAAATTCTAATCATTTTAATTTGTGTACAGAAAAAACTCAAAATGATAATTCAATAGGACTTCACCAACAGAATGTTCTACAGTCTGGCAGGATGAAAGAGGAGAAGATTTAACATTTGTAGCTCTTTTCATCATTAATTCTTCCATTGCTTTCCATTCCTGGTTTGTTGGTTGGACCAAAGGTAGATGACATAACAAAGATTGGTGAAGGAACTTGCACCACAAACTTCATTTGCTCTATCAAATGCAATTCCCATACAGCTTTTTCCCCCTTCCCCCTTCTCTCTTTGAAGTTCAGACTTCTGACATAAGATCTGTAGATATTTCCAAGGCCATTGTGATACTGACCAGAAGAATGAATCTTATGAATTCATGCTCATGGAATTTGAGAGCACATTGAAGCTGGGTTTATTGCATATTTTCCACAAAGTCTTGATTCAGTTTAAAATTATTTGTGAATAGTCTCTAATGGCTGAGGTCACAGAGCATGCAAAAGTAGATGCTTCAATCAATGAGAGAAGACCATTCCAAAAATAGGTGCAAATAAACAAAAAATCAGATGGGGCATGGAGTGTGGAGGGACCAATGGTGCAATCTGAACCCCACAGAGAAGATTCTGTTAGTGGAAACCCCATAACATCTTTGAAGAGTATATGAACTAAATCACTAATATTTTTTTAATGAGTTAATGTGTTTGTGAAATGAAAACTAGACTATTATGTCAATCCGCCTGCCCTGTGTAGAAATAGAGCAATGTAAGCTACTTGAAACAATGAAACTTATCACTATATATTGTATATTGCATTGGGCTGTAAAATGTATTTAATTCTCAGAGAAATAATGTGACCTGATTTTGGTTGGGTTCACACAATACACTAAACCATATTGTAATATGTTTGGGTTTAGTTGGTTATCTGAACCCTAGTCAAAGAGATTTTTCTGTGGAAACCTGACATTAGGTTTCCTATAACTTAAATCTGAAACTTCCTTACTACTTTATTCTTCACGCATATGGAGGCTTTTGTATATGAATTTTTGGTCTCTTACTGCTTTTCCTGATGTTGATTTTTCATATTTACCTCTGCAGTTTTGTAGTATATTTAATTTTATTTCTATTCTGAGTAGTTGTTCTTCCATTTTCTGCAGGCTGATGTTTCTCTTCTCATCAAATCGTTGTTCTAAGCTTTTGAGTTTGGTTATAAAATTGGTCTCTAGTTCTGTGAAATTGAATGGTGCTGGGGAAGCATCACAGCCCTCTTTTGTGGAGTTCAAATTTAGCGACCTGAGTTCTAGAAGTATTGAAGTATCTGGAAGAAAAAGAAAGAAATTTAATTTCAGGAACTCTACTGTATTCTTATATGCAGTTGGAGGACACTTCTGTGTCTGCAGGCGCCAGAGCAGTGATTGAGAATAATCTGGGTGCGTTTGCATGATGGCTATTTTTTGCCAGCTCATGTTCAGCACTGGGATTGCACTGTGTTAACTAAGACTGTGCTAATGGAATTGGTTATGAAATATTTCCCATTTAGTTTCGAAAGGCAGGAATTATGCTGGAAATGGATTGTAGATCAAAACCAGTTGGCAAAAGAACAATCTGAGAAAGCCATCCTTAGGTGCTGAGTCCATAGATTAATACGGTACTCATTCTTCCTCCAGCTTGCTGATGCCATCCCTTATGTGTTTAAGCACAACAACTGTTTCTTTTCCACTGAACATCATTGCCCTCCCCCCACTGCTTTCATCTCATGGAGAGGGAGTTGCTTCACTAGTTTTTGGTGCTCACTCACATGAGAGGAGGAGGAAGAGGACAATAAGGAAGAAGCAGATACCAGTGAGGATCAAGAGTACACCGATTTGGTTTCTTTTCCAGTACTTTTTCCATTGGGCTGGAGAACAGATGGATGGACCTGCAGGGAAAGAGTGCCACAATTGATACAGTCTGGATTAAAACTCCAAAAACAAGTAAGGTTTAATTGTGTGGTCACCCTGCTTCGTTCACAGAAGTTTACAGGAATGCACTTGTGTCTGTTTGGTTATTATGTCCATAGCACCATTATCCCAGTATGTGTACATTTTTTTAATCTGAAGCTAGTAGGGAACATCAGTCAGTCAGTGTTCATGCTGCCTTGAAGGTGGTCAGCAGTTAAATATTCTTTATTCTCATGCCACTGGTTCCATCCCCCGCTTGTGTGGTTTATGAATTAACACAATTCTTCTCACCTTCCACAGAAGAAAAGAACTTGCTAATATTTTGTTCCTACTACAATCCACATACCTGGCTGTGTGCATTATCTACCTTCATCCAATATCTTATCAAAAACAAAATTCAACTTCTGAAAGGTTGCTCTGTGGTGGGGTTGGGTTGCAAAAAAAAAAAAAAAGGAAAAAAAGTAGCAATAGCGCTTAGACATATATACCGCTCCATTGTGCTTTACAGCCCTCTCTAAGAGTCAGCCTATTGCCCTCAACAATCTGGTACCTCATTTTACTGACCTCAACAGGATGGGAGGCAGATCCTGAGTCAGTCAGGATCGAAATCCTAGCAGTGAGCTGAATTAGCCTGCAATTCTGCATTCTAACTACTGCATCCCAATAGCTAGTAAAAGAAAGACTCTCAATAGGTCCATGTTCTTGGTGATGTAGTAAGAAACCTGCCCATAGAAGACCTTCTACTGTAAACCTTGCTATTATGGTGACATAACGGCAAAAGTCCAGACCAACATATCGAAGCAAACTTGATAAAATGCTAAGTTTGCATTAGAGAATCCTTTGTGAGCAGTGAGCTGGGAGTGAAGGAAGGTCAGGTGTGAAGACGCATAAACACTAGGACAGTGGTGGCGAACCTATGGCACGCGTGCCAGAGGCGGCACTCAGAGCCCGCTCTGCGGGCACATGTGCCATTGCCCCAGCGTTGCCTCCTCCCGTGACCCCTCCACACTAGCAGCTCCTCTGGAGGAGAGACTCTGCCCTCACACCCCATTGCACACAGTTGATGCTGCGGGGCGTAGGCAGAGGGCATGACACTGCTGGGCTGCTTGGGCAATCTGCGGCGGGCCCTGGAGGCAGTGAGTGGCCCTGCGGGCAGGCAGAGTGGGAGCGGAGCGGGGGCGGGGCCAGTTTTTGGGCACTCGGTCTTTAAAAGGTTCGCCATCACAGCACTAGGACATTGAAATCTCATGGACAAGATGATAAGCCCCATGTAGGACTAGAGCCTTGGTAACACTTCAGTGTAAATCAGATTGCCTTCACGGGGCTGCAAATATGACTGAGGTTCTCAGTGTTACAATAGTGTGAATAAGTTTAGAGATTTTGAAAGAAAAGAACCCCTTTGTTTGGGAAAATGCAGGATGATACATCAGGCTAGATGTAGAACAATACTTCTCTTGGGCAGATTGTTTTTAGAGCCTTCGGTTAGTGAATTCAAAAAGATTGTTTGAATTTAAAACATTGAGTTAACCGAAAAAGGTTGTTCCTGTAACAGATCTAGAAAGTCTGTTGTAGAAAGAACCTTCTCTGTAAATATTGTTTCTTCCTTCCATATGAATAGTAACCAGAGAGGGCACCAAATCTCAAGCAATAAAGTGTTTACTTTCCATTTTTAGAGTAACGGAATATAACATTAAGCATTTGTCAAACAGACTGTATATATAAATTGAACACTTGTATGCCACAATTTACTTTTCAGAATTTTGCCGTGCAATTGTAGCTCAAAATTGCACACAAAATGGGAATGTTTAAAACGTTTAAAAGCCTCAAACAAAAGGAAACATATGCACAATATAATAGGAAGAAATAGCTTGAAATAGCATCTCTAAAAATGTGCTTTCTAAGGTCAAATGTGCATAAAAATTAATATATTTTCAGACTGACTTTTCCCCCTCTGAATCTGCAAGGTAATAAGAAACTGAAAGGTGATGAATGGAAAAAACAACTGTGAGCCTAACTTCATTAGTTGTTTACAGTGACACTGCAATGGCCTGGCAATTCCAATTTTACTCTCTGAATTCATGATGTTGATATCCAAATGACAATTATTTAAGCATCCTTATACTACTGTTTATGTTCAGCAAAATATGTGCCAATCAGTAGCAAAACATCTAAGAGAGTGAAGGCAGCTTTTTCTATTGCCATAGCTGGGGCTGGATTCTGTTGAAGACTCCAGGAAGGAAAGACTGAGTGAAATAAACAGATTTACTCATACAGATTCCATACCAGTAGCAGCCTGAATATCAGGATCCAACGGTTTAGCCGGTGTCTTCCTTTCACAAGGTAGCGAGATACTGTCATAGTCACTTTCTGCGCTGCAGTTATCATAATCTGTTATAAAAGCAAATGGAATAAGCTAAACTTGGGATTATGAAAATTTGTGCACAAAGTGTTCAGAATTCTTTAGATGCCACCCTTTAACTCTGTTGCTCAAGCAACACACTACATTTCTGATTTTATTCTTCCTTATCCTTACAATATACATTTGGCTTCCTTTTAGAAACTGAGCAGTTTCTTTTCTCTTTCTTTCTTTCTTTCTTTTCTCTTTCTTTCTTTCTTTCTTTCTTTCTTTCTTTCTTTCTTTCTTTCTTTCTTTCTTTCTTTCTTTCTTTCTTTCTTTCTTTCTTTCTTTCTTTCTTTCGGAGCCTGCTCAGACAAGAAAGATTAATGACACTCCACTGCTTTACCATCTTCTCAGTCCTGGAAATAGCCAAGTCAGCTTTTGCATGACTGTCTGAGGTTTTGTGTGGTTGCCTATCCGATCTCATTCACTTCCCAGCACTTAGTCTATCAAGAGAAAAGGCACAGGAATTCATATTTGCTGAACTTGAGCTATTCCCATATCACTGTCATGATAAATCTTTTGTCACCATCTGAGATGTTAGAAGGGAAACCAGTTCAAAGGAATCAATTGTTTTAAGTAACACTTCTTGGTTTGTGCTGTAAGTGCATAATCAGGAAAGCATTATTTGGCACTGAGTCAAAATAGATGCAATTCACAGAATAGGGGCAGTGCATTTTTGTCAATATAGTTTTCCTGCTGACTCAAGGATGGGTGAGTAGACCACAACTTAACACTGGGAACGGTCCTGCTAAATAAACCATTAGTGAATCTTCGAAGGGGATATTCGTAGAAAAGATGCATAAGAGGATAAGAATCTACATTCTTAACAGCAATAAATATTAAGCAACTTCAACAAGAGTAGCTTGTGGTTCTAGAGCATTTTTTTCCCTTCTACATAACTTTTACAAGTACAGGAATCTTGTCTTCTTCTCTGTCGGACTATTCTAAATAGATTGTGGTTTCATCCCAGATTTCCATTCAGCCTTCCGTTTCCATCCTGGAACTGAGGATCAAATCAGATCCCATATTCAGTTCTTTTAGTCCTGCTTTAGATACATTTTCCATATAGATGGCAATCTACAAACCAACATTATACCCAGTGAAGCTCATTATGTACATTATGGAGTGTGCCACATCACATTCCCCCCTCCACAACCAGGTTTTAATTCAATTACCTTCATTGCTGAGTCCACTCTGCTCTGCAGGCTCAGGAGGGAGAGAACGCCAAACCTTGCATGGAAGATCTGCTTCCCTGCTTAATGTGTTGCCATACATGGCTTCTGGTTATAGACTTGAGAAGAAAAGAGGTTCTGAATGGATTAAAATAGAGCTCTCAAGTTCTTAACATGGTCTCTGGATTTCATTTCTCCAGGAAGTGGTCAAATCTCCTTTTGCTTCCTTTTTGAGGACAGGTGGGTAGTAACACTGGGACCACAGCTGTTGTTGAGGCTATAATGAATTGTGGCTGCATCTCTTTCAGAAGGCTATCCTCAGAGGTGGAAAAGGAGTCCATGGGACCCTGGAAACCACTGGTCCCAAAGAAGTGGCCCTATAAAACAGGATTGCTGCTTCAAATCTAGGCCATTTTCTTTTAGCTTATGGAGAGTGATTGCTAGTGGTGTAGAACTGAAAGTTGTGGAAGACACAGAAAAGACAGATTACAGGAAAGCACTTCATGTTAATAATTGACGTAATAATTTGGCGGTGCTATCCTCTTAAGTACTCCTGAATTCTAAATAAAACAAATGTGCCTGTGCTAGGCTGAGGTAGAAGCTTAAAAGCTCTATTAAATTAAAAAGAATCTCCATTTGAATCTTCCACTCCATCAGTGGAAAGATTGCTTTGAACCAGTTAACACCTGACAAAGAAGAAACAGTGCAGTTCTGGATGCAGCTATGGGACAACCCAAAGAAATTCAATAAGAGTAGAGCCTGGCTACAGAAGGTGGATAAGAACAAAACAGAAATTGAAATGAAAGAACTTGTAGTAACAGCAGAAATGATAGAGAAAAAGGCAAGGAAGATCAAGAATTGGTCAGCACCCAGTGAAGATGAATTACATGATTTTGTTGAAACATCTGACTGGCCTACACTCATTGTCACCAAGCAGTTTAACAACATAGCACAAGGAGGTGAAATTGAAGATTGGTTATCATCTAGCAAAATCTATCTGATAATGAAAGATCCAACAAAAGAGGAAGCACCAAACAATTGCAAGTCACTTATTTGCTTATCAACTTTCAAGTGTCTAATTCACGAGTGTCAAACTTGATCGTTTCGCATGATGTATCGTGACATATCATGACGTTTTTTGCCTTTGTGGAGCTGGGATGGGTGTGGCCTGTACTTGACGCATCTGGGCCGTCAGTTTGACACCCATGGTCTAACTGATGGGGTAGCTAATGCAGTCCAACAGCATCTAATTAAAAACAAGCTGTTTCCACTTGAGCAGAAAGGAAACTGCCCAAATACAAAAGAACAAAACATCAGCTTCTAATTGACAAGATGATTTTGGAAAACTGGAAGACAAGACCAACATGAAGGTAAGTTGGTTTGATTGTAAGAAAAGATTCAACTCCTTGCCACATAATCAAGTAGCTAGAAATAACCCATTGTTGTGAACAACAAATAATAAACCATCACCAACATGTTGGCAGTTTTGCAACTAGGCACTTTCCCCAACAGCTCTAAGAATGGCTGTTTGTTACTATGTGGAGGCAGGAGTGGAAGAAATGAAGTCAGAATTAGTTTGTAATTGAGTGAAGGTGAATTGCCAATAACCTGGCCCAAAGTTATTTTGAGCATGATCAAAAAACCAGGCTTAATAGTTAACAAGTGGGCTTTAACATAGATATTATATATAAGCGGTTATGCCCAGAGATCTATCAGAAATTCCTAGACCCAAATCTTCTTCCACCTACCTTGTTAAGAGTACTTTCCAAGAGTAGTGACAGGATTCAGAGGCCTTCTCCTCAGATGCACACATCTCACTTCAGATGAGAAGGATCTCCAAAAATAAAGGTATTAGAATGCGAAAAGAAAGGGGAAAGACACTGCTATATGTTGCTTCAGCTGCCTAGCTCATCTATTCCGTTCAGCTCATTTCTCCATGTAAAGCAGTGGTTCTCAACCTTTTTAATGCCGCGACCCCCAACTGGTCGTAAGTCAAGGACTACTCAACTGGTGCAGCACCGTTTGCAGAATGGGACTTTTGGCGGGCTCAGCAGGGCAGAGACAGCCTGGACAATTCCTATTGGCTTTTGAAAGCCAATAGAATTAGACTCTATTCAAGAGAGTCTATTCTATTGGCTTTCAAAAGCCAATAGAATAAAAGGGAGTAGCACAGCTAAGGAAAAGGGGAAAAAATGGCGGACTGCGTTGTTTGGTGACCCCCGTGAAATGGTCGTTTGACCCCAAATGGGGTCCCGACCCACAGGTTGAGAACCATTGATGTAAAATCTATATACTACACATGGAAAGCTCCAGGAGGAAAAAATATTGGAAAGAAGGATAATTTGTGATAGATATCGGGAAGGTGGTAAAGAGTTAAGCACGCCTTTTTAGTAGGAAAAATTAGGCCAGAGCTGTATGAAGTTTATCAAATCAATTTCTTTGAGTACTTATGACTCCTGTACTCCAGTCAAGAAGTAGAAAGCAAAGAGGGAGAAGTTACATAATTCTAAGGAATGCCATTTCTCGAGAAATGTCAGAGGGATGAATACAATCAAAAATGAATCTGGTCTCATTAGTTTCACAACCTCTTTCTTCTGAAATTCTGCCCCAACAGACACGATTCAGATGCTTTAAGATCTTGATGGCATGGCAGGAATGGCACTTTTCTGCTTAAAAATTCTAATGAAAGATCTCAGCAATGTTACTAAGAACATCCAGGTATAATAAAGGGAGCAACAAATAAATGACTTTCCTCACTGTTATTCAGCCAACCACGGAGAAGATGTGGATGATGTTTTCCAAAGCTGTTGCAGATCTTTGAAAGGAACTGGAAGATATGGTGATGGAAAGTTTCAATTATTCTGAAGTCTCTGGAGCACGGGTGTCAAACTCCCCATGTCACGTGACGTGTTGCGGCGTGTCGTGACTCTTTTTGCATTGTCGGCAATGGGGTCGGCGTGGCTTCAGTATGATGAAACCGGTCCACGGGCCGGCAGTTTGACACCCCTGCTCTGGAGTAATAATTTCTGCCAAGCATGGTCTTTTCAGAAAATTGCTGGCTTTTCTCACTGATATCCTTCAGAGGTGGAGGAAGGCTCAAAGGCATTAGCTACCCTTGGTTCAATACAAATCAAAAGGGAATGGAATGGTGGTCTTTGGCAAACCTGCCCCAACTGACAGCTGATAGTTTAGGAAGGGGAAAGGCTGTGAAATGAAGTGAAGTGTAGTGGCAGAGAATCACCTGTCACTCTTCTCCTTTACAGTATAGTTTCCATGCTCTGCCAGGCAGATTTATTTACTTTTAATTTTGTACGCTTCCTGATTCCCAACAACTCTGGGCAGCTCATAACAATCAAAACAAAGAACTTACAACAAAATCAATGGAAGAAAAAAAGGTAAAATATGGCAAGAATGGGAGAGGGGGGAATCTTACCCAGAGTTTCACTTCATTCTAGTCTGGATGAAGAGCCAGGTTTTCGTCATTCTTCTAAACAACACCAGAGTGGGGGACACCCAGAACTTGGAGGGAATGAAGGAGAGTGCCTGGGGTCCCAATAGATTAATTGTTTAGTCAAAGGAAGCCAGAGTGCCCCAACCCTGCACAATCAAAGTGGCCAGACAGATACTCTGGGAGATAAACAACTCACTTGTAGTTGTTGCAAAATGGAAATCATTACCTGTGATACTCAGCTGTGACTTCGTACCGTAGCACTAATTTCTATCATTGTTGCTTTTGAGTACCCCATGCATGCTGGTCTCACTCCAGAGGCCATGTTGAATAAAGTTTAAAACAAAGAATCAATTACCCTAAGAATAATTTTGGGATTTTAAAAACAACTAACTGGATGCTGGTTTTGCCATTAAAAATGAAGAGGGCCATTTCAGAATCTAGTATTGTCTGCACTGAGCATGCATTTAATAACAATATTTTATATTATTCTCAGATTTGTTTTTGATGGCAGTTCTTTGGATTCCTTTACTTATAATATAGTTTTATGTCTTCTGGGACAGTAAGTATTTGTAGAAGGACAGCACACACAGCCCCAGAGAAAGAAATATTTTGGGAATATTAAAAGGCAGAATATTATATTTACCCAAAGGATCTTAAAGGCAGAGAAGCAGGCCCAGTTTTTCTTAATAGCCCCCAGAAAGGTACACTGAACATCAGGTCAAAGTTCATGCCACAGGAACTCCAAACACAAAGCCCAAGACAGTGTAAAAACCCACCACCTCCAGCTACATGTGGTCAGAGCCTCATGTTTTGTGGTTCTGCTCTTTAATGAACTACAATCTTCTTTCTAAAGCAGTCTCCATTTTGTTTATTCCCAGCTTGGACTGGACCCTAATGAAGACTTTTCTTTCCACATATTTATCTAGGTTTAAAATGTTATGGCTTAACCAAGATAGTTTGGTTAGAGCTGGAGCAATGGGTCCTGAAGAACAATATTCAGCATAACTGAAATACAACCCTACCTTGTTTGTAAGGAGAGGTCTTCTTGGAAGAACGTTCTTCTGTGACAACTATGTAGTTAATATTCCTTATCTAATTCATAGGAGACGTTTTACATTTGCTCGGTTTAATGTTTTGCCATCCTCACTGTTGGAAGCAAGTGAATTTATCATGTCCACTATATAGGAAATAGAATCTGTTTCTCCTGTAATTTTGGGTTGCCCTTTTTATATGGCTAAGTGAACTGAGCTGATATTGCCTCTAGTAACTCATAAATATGGTAGTTCAGAGACAGAGAATATTATTAGCTGAAAGGCCATTTGAAATATCTAGAAGAGTCTCCAAATTCTGTTTAATTACTAGTTGTGTCCAGTACTTAATAGTGTAGTAATTGTATTAAATACATGTATTTTAATGTACTCACTATACTGTTTTAGCATACAATCTTTGGTTAGGTTTATCATTGGATTTGCTTGTTTCTGTTTTGTCTTTGATTGTAACATATAAAACAAATAGATCTGTCTATCTGTCCGTCCATCCATCCATCCATCCACTCCTCCAACCTGCAGCAGAACATGGCTTTCTCCAATTATTATTCAGCTCATTTCTCTGGTGAAGCAAAAGGGGACTAAGGAACTTCTTCAACAGAATTTGCTACTTTGAGAGGTTATCCTCCTGCATTCAC